AAGGAGTGTAGGTCCCATTGTCCACCCTGACCCCCGCCAGATCTCCAGTCTGTGGCCCCTCATGGCTCTCATCAACCCCATTCTGGCCATTGCCCTGGGTGGGGGGGGAAGGGCCTCTGGTTTGGGGAAACCTCCCCTTTGCCCTCCCCCTTCACTCTGCCCCGGGGCCAGCTCGGGGCCGATTCTCCTCATTGGGCAGGGGAGGAGGGCTTTCAGGGGAGAGGCTGGCCTCCAAGGAGGGAGGCAGTGGGCAACATCCCCAGGGTTGAAATACCTTAATTAAAGCAGAGTGGGGGAAGGAAGAGGCTTTAAATCTAATAAATTATTAGCGTTTTTAGTGTCCGTGGGGGGCAGGGTTGGGGAGGAAGGGTTAGGAGCAGGGGCCGAGCCACCAGGGCCTCCCCCACCCCCCTTACTGGTGGATTTCATTCTCTATGAGGCTCTCCACATAGGACTGGAAGTCTGTGTCTGAGAGCTCCTCCTGGGTTATCAGAGTCTCCTCATCGTGCTCTAAGGATAATGGAGGCTCCTCCTTCATACTTCTGGAATTCACAGAGGCCCCAGAAATTCCAGAGACCCCAGAGACTTCAGAGGTCCTAGAGCCCCCAGACACGCCAGAACCACCAGAGTCCCCAGAATCCCTGTCCTCTTCTGAGTCCTGCAGCACCTGAGCAATGTACTTCTGTGAGGGGGAAAAAGAGAGAGAGGAGAAGGAGATGGAGAGGGAGAGGGGGAGGGGGAGGAGAGAGGAAGGGAGGGAGAGGGAGAGAGGGAGAGAGTGTATATGAGTATGTATAGAGGCGAGGGAGGACGATGCACCAAGATCAGGGAGAAGCAATCTTGTGAAGGCTGGGAGAGACCTTCAAGACCATCTAATCCAGCTACTTTATAGAGGAGGAAACCGAGACCTGGATGGGGAGTGACTTGCCTATGGTCACACAGGTACTAAGCAGCAGGGTCAGGATTTGAAACCAGGTCCTCTGACTCAAATCAAGACAACAAACATTTAATAAACATTGACTACATGCCAGGCACTGTGTTAAGTGCTGGAAATAAAAATAAAAAGCAAAAGCAAAGCCAGGCCCTGCCCTCAAGGAGCTCACACTCTTGCTAGTACACCACAGTACCTTGGATAACTCCTGTCACTTGTACACCTTTTTAAGGTTCCCAAAGGGTTTCCCTCAAAATCTTTGTGGTCCTTCATGACAGAGGGCTGGCAGCATCCTTCCTCCCTTGACTTGTGGAGGGAGGAATATGGAAAACTGCCATGAATCTCATATTTCCAATATGACATTGATTTTCTCTCCTTGTGGGAAATCATGGAATACTGGGTGTCTGGTGGGGGACAGGAGGAACTGGGAAGACCGCCACGGGGGGAGGAAAGAAGGGATACTCACTGCAGATTTGACAGTGGGGCGACTACCATTGATTCTCGAGTCAGTGGCATCCCCTGTTTCGGTGTGATCGATCTGGGGGGGAAAGTGAAGGGTCAATCACGAACAGTGTGGAGGAACCACTGACCTCCAGAACTTCTTGGTCTCTGCTGGATCCTCTCTTCTGTTCCCCAACCTGGGGGTCCCAGTTGCTTAATCCAACAATGCCCAGGGAATCTTCATTACCACCTGGCTTCACAAGCCACCCCAAAATTCTTCAGAGGCTTAGCTTGTAGTTCCTAAGACGGACTTACCCTGATATCCTCCCCCATCTCACCTTGTAGTTGTGGGCACTGAAATATTTGAAATATCCGAAGCAGAGGTGACAGAGAGAGATGACAATGGTGATGATCAGGACCACAAACGTAAACATAGAAGTGGGGGCCAAGAACCCTGTGAGATTTGGAGAAATGAATAGGGTTGGGGTGGGGAGGGATGTGTATCTGCCTCTGCCACAGCTCTTTCTTCTTTCCTAGTATTTCTCCATCCCTTTGCTCCTTCCTGTGTCCCTTAATCTCTTCCTACAGTGTTTTCCCCACCTTCTCAATCCTATCCCATCTTCTCCTCCCATTGTCCAACTCTCCTCCAACTCTATTCCAGGTCAGGAAAAGCTGCATAAATTGAGTAGTGGCATATTTCAGCCTCCCACAGGGCCCTGGGCTTTTTCCTCTTCCCTTCCCAACTGGCCTGGACAGGTCCAGGGGCTTTACTTAGTTTCCCAACTTTAATGTCCAAAGACCTCTCCCCACCTCCAACTGAGGAGTTGTTCCCACCCTGGTCACCCCATCTCTCCCCAGGCGTCCCTCACCAGCACGCAAAATAGAGAAGAAGAGGAGCCAGAAGAGACAGAGGATGGGCGCCGCCACCACCTGGGTCACAGCCCCAGCATGGATCTTCTTGTCCAGCTTGGCCGGCAGGTATGCATAGTATAGGTTGTATCTGTCCACCAGGTGCTTCAGCAGCATGTACATGAGCCCTGGGGGGACAGTTAGGCCAGTGCCCTGACCTCTGACTTCTAAACAACCCTCCCTCCCTCCCCCATTACGAGCCATAGCCCAATAGGGCAGCAACCTACCACTGACCCACTGGGGCAAAGCTTACACAGTAATGATTTACAGCTATTTGGAATTACTCAATTTCTGTCTCCTTCCCTCCCATCTCTGAAATTCTACCATGTGGTCCATTCCTTTAGAGCAGGGGCTTTTAGCTTGGGGTCTGTCAACTTTTTGTTGTTGTTGCTGAAATATTTTGAAAACTGTATTTTGATATAATTGGTTTTCTCTATAATCTTACATTTTTTAATTTATGCATTTAAAAACGTAATTCTGAGAAAGGGTCCATAGGCGTCATTAGATTATCAAAGGGGTCTATAACACAAAAAAAAGTTAAGAAGCATGGATTTGGAGATTGAGCCATTTCTTTAAAATGTAAATGACTCCTGGGTAGTCAGTCAGCACCTTAACTGGATTAGTCTTTCACATTTTAGCATGAATTAACTTTTATGATCAGTCTCCTTCCTTGGGGTTAGGAGTTCTAAGTGAAGGGATAAGAAGGGAGAAAAATGATAACTTTTGAGGACAATGCCAAGAGAGAAGGGAGATTCCAGAGAAGGGTCTGGGGTAGATCAAAGAGAAGGGTGGCTGCGGCAGGCCAAAAGGGTAGGCCAACCAAGACAAACTATCATTTTGTAGCTGGCTTTGCCCACGGGCCCCTGGGAATGGAATTAAGTTGTAATCTGTATTGTTAAGGTATTTGGATAACAGCTCAAGGAAACTAAGGTTTGGGTAACAGCAGGTAGGAGAGGAACCAATTATGGGCTAACTCTACCTCACCAATGCCTGGCTGTTCAGAGCAGGGAGGTCTGTGCAAGGTAGGCGAGGTGTGAAAATCACATGCCCTTTGTATTAGTTTCTTTCCTATGATACTACGGGGACTTATCACAAAAAATATCTTTGTACTCTGAGGAGTGTTTTGCCATTAAAAGTATATGCATTTATCCAAAGGATTATTAGAGTTATCATTAGTGATTCCCCATGAATGTTGCCTCTGAGGTGACTGCTTACCTTGTCCATCTCTAGTGCTGGCTAGCCCAGCCTATCTACAGCACAGACATCTCAGGGACAGTTTCAGCTTCAATATTGTGACTCACCTTCCCTTCAGTGCTCTGTCCCTCAGTGCTCTCCCCACTAACCCAAAGGTTCTTCTTCTGAAAGAAACTCTTTCAGAAACTCTGAAAACTCTTTTCAATGTGCATGCATGAGTGAGTGCGTGCATGTGTGTGTGTGTGTGCATACACACACGTACACGCATGGACGTGTGTGCACACAAGTGCATCTGTGTATGTCCAAATGTATTTGTGGATGTGCCTAAGTACTCTGGTGAGCGAGTATCTCAGAATCTGCCTGTAATTTTTTCACACTGCCCTCCCACCTCCCCTCCTTTTCTGCCTAGAGCCTGCAAAGGGCAGACCTGGGTTGGGGTGTTCTCTCCCCCAACCCACAGGCCAGGTCCCAGACTGAGGCAGAGACCGGGCGGGAGGATCCAGGGGCTCTGTCCTCCCAGCCCAGGGCTCTGTCCACTCGGGGCAAGGCCTGACCTAACCCTTATAGCCCAGCATAATGCTTCCCAGGTTGGGGAGTGGCCCTGGCTAGGGAAGTCCCCCTCAGCAGGGCCCAAGTCCCGGCGCGGCGCTGCCTACCGAAGGGTACGATGATGGGGCAGGTGATGCTGTAGGTCATGACCACCGTGAAGACGCACATCATCCAGGCATAGGCCGCGCCAAACTGGAACTCGTAGGCCTGGTGCTGGGGGGGAGATGGGGCAGGGGGTGGGGGAGTGGGTGGCTCAGAGACTTCTGGGGACCCAAGAGACAGGGAAACAGGACAGGGATGGACAGGGTATGGATAGCTGGGAGGCCAGGGTCATGGAAGAAAAGCAGGGGAGATGATGGACATAGGATGAGGAAAGATGTATGGAGCAGGGAAAAAGTGAAGGAGGGTAAATATGGAAGGGAAGTATGTAGGGGGCAGGGGAAGAAGTGATGGAGGTGAGAGAAGATGTTACAGACAAGGGAAGAGGTAAGAGGGAGTGAAGGAACAAGAATGGTAAGGGAAAAGGAAAGGGTGCTGGAAGATGAAGGAGAATGGAGGGCAGGAGAAGGAATTAAGGCAAGTGAGAGAGGATGTAGGGGAAGGGAGGATAGGTGATAAGGAGATGGAAAGATAGGAAGAATGGAAAGACAGGGAGAGTACAAGACAGAGGGAAAAGGGGCGGAGGGGACAGAGGAGCTAGAGATGTGTGTATCGTGGGTGGTTGTGTGAAGAGGTCAGAGGACAAAAGCATGAGAAGGAAAGACAGGCTACCTAGGTTCATCTCCTTAGAAAAAGAATGGAGTGTCCCCTTGCGGGGTAAGAGCAGATGGCTGCCAGTCCTGTTCCCTTTCCCCACTCCCAACCCTGTCTGTTTCTGTCCTTCCCAAAGCCCTCCCTTAGGCCCCTCCTCTCCCCTTGACATCTTTCCCCACTGCTCTGCTCTCCCACCAGGTGCCCAGGACTAGGGCCTGAGGTGTGTATGGGGGAGGCCCTCACCATACCCGCTTGACGTTGCGCCTTTCAGCGGCGGAGTGAGCGAGGAAGAGGCGGATCATGTATAAGAGCAGCCCTGGGATTCGCAGCAGGTCCATGGCATTGCCGATGAAAGCCGAGGCAATGACGTAGTTGACAAAGAAGGCGCCGTTGTCCGGCAGGAACACACACCTGTGGGCACCATCGGTGCTCCACTACCATGCCCAGTGGTGAAGGGCACTACGAGGCTCAGTCCCCAATCCACATACTTGTTGGCCCTTCCTATCCCAGCCATCAGGAGCACTCTCAATACCCCCCCTCATCTGCTCTACCCTCCTGCTTTGTACTTCTTCCCCCAGGGTACCACCCTGCCCTCTGTGTACTCTACACCACATGGGGCCCTTTCCATCCTGAGGAGGTGAGGTGTGTAGTCCTACTGATCTGATTAATGGCTGCTCATTTAGCTCCAAAGAAACACTAACAAAGCAAGTGTAAACATACTACGTAGAGTAACCACCACAGTGGGGTGCCCCAGAGACCCCAGAGCTTAGGTTCTCCCACATCCTAGAGTATGTCTCAGAAAGGACATCACCAGACTATGTCTCATGCACACTCCAACCACAGAGACCCTCAATGTCCCAAAAGATGATCCCAAAGCATGTCACCATTCACTCCATCATAAAAACCACTAGTGTACCCCTAGACACCCCAGAAAGTATGTCCCATAGAGATACGATATGTTTCCACAAACAATATACACACAGGGACCTCCATGGAAGGTGCTGCACAGACATCCCAAAATAGGTTCCACTGAGCACATTCCAACAAGCATCCTGCCCACTGAGAGCACCAGGGAACGTGGACAATGCACACACCACGGTGTGTGATCTAGACAGTATAACCAAGGCATGTGTGCACAGACACAACAGACTGGGCCTCAGAGATTCCTAGTGTGTGTTTCCCACAGATAGTCCACACCATAGACAGTACAGGGACAATGTTTCCAGGGAGGGTCCTCAGACACTCCTGAAGCAGGCGTTCCTACAGACACAGCTCAGTGTGAGTTTCAATCTCTCATGACAAGATCACTACAGTGTAGGTCCCTAGACACCTAGAGGGTGTACCCTCAGAGAGACCACCAGAATGTTTCCACACTCGCACACCAGAGCACGTTCCTAGACATCCTACCTACAGAAACCACCTGAGTGTGTACTGTCAGACATATCCCTACATGCGCTGTAGTTTGGCCCTCCTATGTTCTCCTACCTTTTACTTTTTTTCTATCCCCAGTGCTTAACAAATGTTTATTGAGTATCTCACCCGCAGAGACCTCTAGGGATGTGCTCCCACACACAATACCAGAACATGAGCTCCTAGAGTATTAACTAGCCCAGAAACCTACCCAGTGCCTGGACTCTCAAGAAAGTGTGTCCCTACAGACACCTCAATGTGGGTCTCAGATTTCCAGAGCATGCCTCCCCCCTCCACCTCAAGATAACCTATCCATAGAGATCACTAGAATACATGTTCCTATAGTCACCCCAGAGCTTGTGAATGGAGATACCCTCAGAATGTGTATCTGTTTGGGGGCAATCTCAGCATTCCCACTGCCAGCAGCCACCCATCCACGCCCTTCTCCAGCACCATTCCTAGCCATCGAAAAGTAGACTAAGAGTCTATCTCCATAGATACACCAGCCATAAAGACCCCCAGAAGGTGTGTCCCTGGACATCTCCAATGAGTAGCAGAGCCTGCCCCCTTGCTGCTGCCACTCTCCTATCCCCATAGGAGGCCACAATTGTTCTGTTGTCCCCTCCACCTTCCTTGTCACCTAGATATCCCTCCCCATCACTCCTGTGTGCCCCCCAGGTCACTCACTCAAACCGAATAGCCCCTTCAGCCAAGAACTTCTTGTCGAAGAGCCAGCGGAAAAAAAAGTCCAAGCTGCAGGGAGGACAAGGGGAAGGGTGCTGGTGAGGGGCAGCCCGAGCCTTTTCCCCATTCCTTTCCTTCACAACTCCCAGAGATCAGCCTCCCTGTCTTCCCTTCCTTTTTGGGGAAGTGCCACCCTAGGGAGGCAAGAGATCCAGGGGGCAGGTGTCTGGCTTCCCTTTGTCCTCTCTTCAGGGAGAAGTGGGAAGGAGGAAGTGGAAAGAAGAAACTCCCCCCGACCCTCACTGTTCCCCATGTCCTACCTGGTCAGGCCCAGAGAAGGCAGCAGCAGTACCATGAAGATCAGGAAGGTGTAGCATTTGTGCATGGTTGTTCTGTTTTCTCCAGAGCTGGGGTGGGACAGGAGAGTCATCACCTTGGCCATCATCATTGTCAGTCTGGGACAGCAGTACCCCTGCTCCTCACCCACCTCTCCATTCCTTTCTTTCCCTTCTCTTCAAAGGACTGGAGACTTAGATTTAGGGGGGGACCTTTCCTTCTCAGTACCCGCCTCCTCCTTCAAGCCCTTCCTGATGCCCTAGTTCTTCTCTCTTTCCTCAAAGCATCTTACATTTATTTATCTCTGTATCCACCTCCATCCTTCACCCCTACCAGGAGAATGTAAATTTCCAGAGGATAGAGATTTATTTTCTTTGCTTTTTATCTCAGCAACTTCACTCATGGTCAGTAAAATGAAGGAAGTGAAAGAAAGGAGGGAAATGATTTGCTTAAGTTGTCCCAGAGAAGTGGAACATCTGGAATCTGAAGCCAGGGAGGGCTCCTCAACTGAGCCACCATGGCTTTCCCTCCAGGGGAGCACAAGGTAGGAGGAGATGGAGCTCAGCCTGGGTATCTCACCGTGTCCAGTGACTCTCTAGGAAGGTAGAGTAGTAGACGATGGTGGGCAGCAGGGCTGAGAAGCACCACAGCAGCAAAGTGGGGAAGAACTGGGTGATGATAGGGTTCTGTGGAAAGGACAAGGGAAAGAGGTGAGGCCACTGTAAGGCCTGGATCCATGCCATCCTGACCAGCTCCACTGTCTCTATCCAACTTTCTCCTGCCTCCTGTTAATCAAATGGCTACTCCGGGTGGGAAGCTTTTGGGACTCTTATGCAAGATCCTAGGAGATCCTGTGCTAGTTTGAGCAAGGTGTCTGTGGAATACTGAAGATGGGAAAGGATCTTAGAGGCTGCTTCATCCAGAATGTGGTCTTAAGAAAAGTGATTTGCTCCAAGTCACACAGCTAAATAGTGGCAGAGCTGAGATGAAAATCTAGATCAGCCGATTCCCCAGCCCAGTGTGTGTATGTAAGTAGCTCCCAGGAGAATATCCCTCAGGATTGGTGGGAGGGGAATAATGAACAAGAGCACTTGGGGGCAGACGGCAAAAAGAATGGAGTTGAGCATGGAGTATTTCATTGCACAAGGGTCTGGTGAGGCTAATACTCCAATAATCACGTGGTGGTAGGGCTGAGGTGTTTTGAGGTAGGAAGCGGGGAGTAAAGGGTTTAGAGCCTGTTTAGTTAGACTTTGAAAGCATCTTATAGATCATTTAATGCAACCCTCTCATTTTAAAGATGAAGAATCCAGGGCCAGATTTTGTATGGGGAGCTAATGTTGTGTGCTAGCTCCCCTGTGTGCTGAAGACTGATGTTGAGGGAAGGGAACCTCACATTGAGGAATTCCACAGGCTTGGTGACGTTGAACTTGTCCATCGTGGTGATGATGATGGCAGGAGTGGTGAGGAAGAACAGGAGGATGAAGAGCACCACGTTGATAATCAGGCATCGAAACCACCAGGTGAAGCCGCGGATGGAGAGATTCTCCCTGCACATACATGTGTGCAGTGGACATGGAGTGAATAACGTCATCTCCAAGTCCACTCTTCCCTCTCCGCAGTTAGTCCTCTCAGCTTTCTTGTCCCACATTCGATTGTAGGGGGTCTCCATATATCCTCTCCTCATCACCCTCTTAGCCTCCCCTGACCCTGCCTCTTTAGCAATCCCCCTATAAGCACCCAACCCTCTCCTCTCACCAGTAGATGTTCTGAGGGTCAGGGGCAAAAGAGACTGTCCAGTTGGAGATGTTCAGGGAATCACTGCAGGACGAGTTTCGGGGCTCCCCTTGACATGTACAGCCTTGCCAATTACATGCATTAAAGTCCTTTAGGATACTGTGGAGGGGGAAAGGTGGATAGAACACATGATTTAGGAATAGGAAGCGATGACGCTGGAGAAGAGGGCACTGGTCTCTGAAAGAAAAGGAGAAAGGGCTACAGGTGGTGGAGAAGATAATGACACTGGGGGAGATAAGACAGAGCTGGAGCAGCACTGAAAGAGAGGCCCTCGGAATGTATGATATGTACATGGGATGGTATTTTTAGAAGATACAGCTGGGAGTCAGAAATTCTGGCAAGGTGGTGGAGTGAGGGACTGGTGGTGGGTTTAGGGAAGTTGGAGGGGCAGGCTGTGTCCCCAGGCTTACAGGGCGGCGATGCTCTCATTGTGGAAGGTCACAAAGGCCATGCCCAGTGGCTTCTGGTTTACTTTCTCCTGCTCCTGCTTATATTCTTCTTTCAGCTTCTGCTCCAACTGCGTGTAGTACTGGATGGCCTCCACCTGTGGGAGGGCGAGGGAAGTAAGGTGTTCCTAGAAAGCAGCAGCTCAGGGTTTTGTGGAGAACAGGCATATATCAGAAAAAGACAGGCATTATTGGTGCCAGGTGGAGGAAGAGATGAGAGGGACTGTGGGGCAAAAGAAGGGCCTCTTTTCATAGAAAACAGCCCTTTGAGATAGGCACTGCAAGTATCATTACTCCTACTTAGCAGGTAAGGCAACTGAGGTTCAGAGATGTCAAGCAGCTTGCCTAAGGCCACCCAGTTAATAAGTGGCAGAACCAAGACTTGAACCCACGTCTTATGATGCCAATATTCTTTCAGTTATACAACGAACTCTCTCGTCCCTCTCCTATGTTGAGTCTTTTGGTGGCTGCAGGGAGGGGAAGGTTACTGGAGCACACAGAGGTGGTTATGTCTGTGTTCTTCTGTTGGTATGTGTGTGTGTGTGTGCGCACGTGTGTGTGTTTTGTGCAGGACTGCCCATGTTCCCAGCTCATTTCACAGGTGCTTTGGCATTTCTGTAAAGCCAGGTTTTCACCAGGGAGCCCAGGCCTCTGTACATGTATCTGTGGAGGGCCTCTAGCCTATCTCCTGGTTTCCCTGGCTCCCTTCCTCTCCCCCCTGCCTGCCCCTGCCTACCTCTTCACAGCCTCGAACAGCACAGCAGCAGAGGTGCCCACAAGGCTTGGGGTTGATCATAGTGGGGACGTTCTCTCTGGCCCGCAGGTTGCTGAAGTATATTCTCCCTCGCTCTGCCTCCTTCCTGTGGGACCCAAGGGACAAGAGTACCCATCAATAGTGTGGCAGGGTGGGGGCGGCACCCTGCCTTTTCATTCTGCTAATACTTCCTATCCCTGAGGGTCCTTTGTCCAGGCTATGTGTAGGGGAGCTCAGTTGGCTCTGAAGGCCTTTGGACCCCTTGTGAAGTCCTCCTCCCTACTTACCTGCCTCTGGACAGGATTATACAGAAAGACAGAGAAGGGGAACAGTCCTCTAAGAAAGGAGATTATCACAGGCTTCTTGGTGTATC